TATTATCAAGGGATACAACTTATAAAATGATGTGAATTATGAAATTATGAGAAGTGTTGAAACTTTCAGTGTAATTAGAGAACTGAACTGGAGGCGTCGTTCAGGTTTAGGATTGTCTTCTGCTCATATTGCTTCATTTTTTTCTACAATATTAAAAAAACTTTTCAAAGATGAAATGTTTACAGGATAGAAGTGTTGGTGACTTGTAATATTATCTGATGCATTAGCTGAAAAACAAATGTAAGACTAAAAGTCAGACAAGCTCATGATAAAGTCAGATCTTTGGCTTAGACAAAAACAAAGTCAGATGTATTTTTATTAACACAAAAATGCAGCTTATTTCTGCAGTTGATGTGAATGTGGCAGGTAAGGTGAAAGGTTTTACTTCATAGTGTGCTGTTAAGGGAAAACTCTTAAAAGAAGGACGTTTATTGCACAAGTGCAAAGCAAAAAAAAAAAAAAACTCTGAAGTAGTATCCTGTGAGTAGAAATGTCTCCTGAAATGAGCTACATGTTGGGTGTGGGGATGTGTTGAAGAAGCTGTTTCACTTATTACCCCCACATTTCACTGTGTGTCTGCGAACAGTGACCTGTGTTAGAAAAACAAGACGAGAATCAGAAAACTTTTATAATCAAGTCTTTGCATCAGCAAAATCCCCATTTAAAGATTGTCTTCATTATTGCAGGACAGTTGTCCAGCTCTGTTATGTGTCAAAGTGTCCTCATTTTCAACCCCACCCCCTTTAAAGGGAACTCAACACTAGATGTTATTTGATAAACATTTATTCAACTATAAAACTGAGACTAAAACTGTAGGTTGCTTAGGTTTTGTAAAAAAATATCCATGTTGTAGGCTAACACCAAGCCTGGAGTGTTACTTACACTGCAAAGCATTCTGGGTAAAGGATGACATTTCCAGCTTGAACATTAATCTTGGACATTGTCTGATGTTCAGCCCTTTTAAATGAAACTAGAGCACCTTGACAGAAAGGGGAAAATCACCTGAAAATGATGGTGGAGGACAGCAGAGCTGCTTTATGGAAGGAGAACTTTAAGCTTTAGCCTTTTAGCTTTCACATTAGCTCCCAAGCTAATAATCACATTTGATCGTTTCAACCCATATAATAACTAAATACAAACTATTACTTTATCACACATTCTAGTTCATTTAGCTTTGATTCTTTGTGTTTTAGTCTCATTGCATATGCATTGTGTTATGGAAATATTTGTGACCCATCACATCGAAACGAGGATTAAAGGCACAGTGTGTAGGATTTTGTCAATTCTTTTAGCCGAAATTGAGATAATCACTAATGACAATAATAAAAACATGTCTAATCATTGCAGACAAAGACCTTGTTTTATTATTTTTACCTTATAAAAAGCTGTTTATATCTCCAAGATCGCGGGTCGCCACACAGGCAGCCGCCATCTTGCACCGCCATTTTGTCTACGAAGGCTCATGAAGGACAAACTGCGGTGGCGGCATCAAAAACAGTTTTAGTTGTAATACTATAAATGTAATATTTGTTGTCTGTCATTGTAGCTGGGATAATTTTACTTATTAAAACTTATAATCTTACCACTTGAAACATCACTAGCCCTGAAGCTGCTGGTAGACATCGCRGTTGGAATTATCAAAGGTTTTTGACACCTGAGAGACACCGTAGCAACTCCTTTGYGTTTGGAAGCGGGGGGTGGGGGTGGGGGGAGGACCAGGGAGGATGATTCAACCACTCAAACACTAGATGTCGCTGAAAACAACAAATCCTACACGCTGTGCCTTCCAAAAGTGGTATAAGGAGAAACAGGCAAATATWGTGTTTTGACTAAAATGTTAACAAAAATTGCATTTTGTCAAAATATAATGAATAAAWGCCKTATCAATGTATCAGTTGACTGAACTGCCTGAAATGTAATCATAAAACAAAATTTTGAAGCAATTTTTGGGCAGTAGCAATAAAAAAAATCTGATTTTGAGGAAAAACGCATTAAAATTTTGAGATTTTTCCCTGTGAGCTAGAAATGTTTTTGTTTATTTTTAGCTGGGAAATCTCAATATTGAAATATAATTTGAGGTTTCCTCTTTATGAAGACATCAAAAATTCCTCAATAAAATGACATAAAATTAGGATTCAGACCAAATATTTATGTATAATTGTAACCAACAAGACAAATCGTCATATATATGGATTTAATCATCTATGCCAGAATGATCCAGATGTCAAAATGTAGCTTTTAAAGCCAAGAATCTGAAAATGTAATTAGGTCATTTTGACCAAACTTGACTTAATCCTCATTTCGATGTGATGGGTCAACATTTATTTAACCAAGACAGAAATACGTGGTCCAAGAATGAAGGTACACCGTGGAAATGATCAGCTGAGTTTTATTTGCAACAGCAGGAACACAGACTGTCCCCCTGCTCTCTGCTCCTGTTTCTGCTTCTTTGAGGCAGTTGAGGCCTCATATATACTGTTTAACAAACACTATTATGTCATCTTAATAAAGCAAGATTTCATCCTAAGGAAATGCTAGGTCAAGGGAAAACACAAGTGATATCTAAGAATGACTGTTTTTAGAAAATCTTGTTCTGACTTTAACCATTCTATCTGCAGATGAACAGCATGTCATGAAAACCTAGGTCATTAAAGTATGTCATGAATTACTGGCTTAAACCTAAAAGTATTAGTTCCATCACACATTGCATCAGTAACAAGGTGGCATGCTTAAGTGAAAAATGTAATAGTTTTTTTTAGGTAATTATAAGTTTTCCTCTTTCACAAACAACAACTTTTAGTAGAATAGAGAAATAACTTAACAGATCCCTTTAAATCTTCGGGTTAGTGTATTTCCAATGCAATACAGACTACACATCTTTACAATCAATAAGACATGAATGTGCGAATAAAAAGCAGAATCAGATTTAGGTTTGATATATTGTTTTATTTATATAAATGTCAAAAGATACAAAGATTTTCACAACTGCTCTTGGTAAACAGCAGTGTATTTACAGCCATCAGATCTCATCCACATCTTAAATTTTCTTTCAGCAAAAGCCAAATTTTCTCACTTAGGCTGAGATTTGTGAGATTTATCCGTGATGACATGGTCACCGTGTGAGCGCTGAGCCACACCTGCCCCCGTTTTTACATATGAACCACACAAAGGTCAAGTGTGTGGTGGCGGCTGCCTGATGAATGCATTGCCAGGGGATTATTTCACAGCAGTCAGGACTGAAGAAGAAAAAGGGGCTGAGCAGGTGGAATGAATGTTGTTTACAGGAAAACAGCAGTACAATTTAAAAATAAAAAAAGTATTTTTGCTTTAATCCACTTCAACTGAGAGTAGGTGCAAAATAAAATGGAAGCAATTAGAGTGCTTGCATCATTACACAAATATTGTAGGAATGTAGATGAACAGCCTGCAAGCTGGTTCACGATGTAATTACACTGCTGGTTTAATTACCTGTACCTGCACAAACGCGTGCAGATACTGGTATTATGAGTCTGAATATTTTCACCCCTCTGTTTTATTTATCTTTTCTAGGCTATCATTGTGTGGTTGTTGTTTTGTCTGGGTAAATCCTGCAGGAAACAGTTCAGGCATGCTCATAATGACAATGAAAATTAGGTGAGAGCGATATGGGTGCGGCACGGTTGTTAACATATAATTATCTGCCCAAATCGTCAAAAGGCATTTGAACCGCATTCTCCAAGAAAAACTTATTGACAATTTTTAAAAATGTCAAAGGCTGGTTATACATTATGTCTTATTATTGCATCTTTCAACAAACTGTTTAAAGTTGTGAGTATTAGAGCTTTAGAGTTTACAAGATCAAAAAAACAGCAAAAACACACAGAAACCTGAATCTACAATATTTTTTTTCATAGTTTTTTTTTTCAGAGGGTGGATGATTTGTTTGGTTTGTTTTGTTTTATTGTTTCATCTCAGTCAGACCTGGTACTCATTTCTCACCTCTTCCTCATTTACTAATAATCAGACCAGCTGCATTCACTCCTACTCATCGCTTTTTAAACTCATCATTTGTTTGTTCCCCACCTGTTTTATCCAGGTCATCCCCACTTGAACTCCTAATTTATGTCTATATATTATAC